GGCTACTCCCCTGTCTCCCTCGGCCATAAGAGTTGTTTTTGAACTACATATAAATGCAGAAGTAAATGCACTTTTCCATGACGGTTGTATTATAAAATTCTCCCTCTGAAAGGTCCATTTTCAAGGGCAGTAACCGAGAATTTGTAGAATGGACAAGAACGGCCCTCATTTCTTTATTTTTCAAACGAAGTCCAATTTCTGTTACTGCATCTATTTTTAATAACACGAAAACACGAAATATCACACCCCAAGAAAGCTTGACAAAAATAAAATCTATTGGCTAGGTCTGAAAGACCATCTAATTCCCTTTCTATTGGTATAATTTATAGTGAGTCCATCTGTAACGGACAGATTATTGCTGGAGGCTCGAGAGCAAAAAGTTATGTATCAATAACTAGGAATTGTAGAATTGACTAGAATGGCTCTCATTTCTTTATTTTCCAACAGACCTGAATGCACTTTTCCATTAAATAATTGTAAACTTTAAATTCTCAAACACTTTTCCCCCCTTTTTTGTGACTGATGGAAAAGTGAGATTTCTGTCTTTGTTTCTAATTCTAGTAACTAGATAAAAGGTCAAACTTCAAGAAAACTTTCCAAAAATGAAATCTATTGGCTGGGTTTGAAAGACCAAGCAACCCCCGTTATATTGATTTATAATACGTCTATCTGGAGTAGATAGAATATTCCATAAGGACCGGGTTAGGGGTTAGGGGTTAGGGGTTAGGAGTTAGGGGTTAGGGGTTAAGGGTTAGGGGTTAGGGGTTGTTTGTTCTGTTGGTAACAGATGTTTTCTAGGCAAGGGGAGGGGGCGGGTGCGTTTGTACTCACAGAGGTTGACCTTCAACTTGGCCTGGGCTCACTGGGAGTCTGTGTCAAGGTCAGCGTCAGAAATCTATAGGAGGAGAAATGGCGAGTTATTGTTGTTGGTTATGGTGGTGGTGGTGGTGCTGCTGCTTTACTGCTGCAGTTTTTTATGTTGGTATTGGTCGTTTTGGCAATGGTGGTGGTAGTGTCAGGTTTTGTTCAGCTTTTGTTGTTGTTGTCGTTGCTTTTTATGGAAGGGAAAAAGGAGATAAGGAATAATATTATGATTGAAAGAAAAGCGGGGAAGAATATGACAGAAAGAACAGAAGAGTAGAATATGACAGGAAGAATAAAAGAAAAGGCTATGATAGAAAGAATAACGCGGGAAGAATATAATAGAAAGAACAGCAGGTAGAATAGGATAGAAACAATAGAAAGGTAAACATGATAGAAACATTTCATGTGGGGGG